CCGCCACCTCGCCCAGCTAATTTTTTGTATTTTTAGTAGAGACGGGGTTTCACCGTGTTAGCCAGGATGGTCTCAATCTCCTGACCTCATGATCTGCTCACCTCAGCCTCCCAAAGTGCTGGGATTACAGGCGTGAGCCACCGCACCCGGCCTTCCCTTTTGTTTTTATTCCCTTTGTTCTTGCACTTCTGCTGTGTACTCACAGGCATGTGTGCGTACGCTGTCTCTCTCTCATAAACGTGCACACGGAAACACACACTCATCCTCTTCCTCTCCCCTCCCCACCCCCCACCGTTTCAGCCTTCCCCTTTTCTACCCCCTTCCCCTCCCTTCTCTCCACCTCTGCCTCTTTCCACCATTTCTTCCTTCCCTCCTGCCCTCCTCTCACTCTATCTCTTGCTTCTCATTCTCAGACTGACTGACAGAAAGTCTTCTTTTCCTCTGTCTAATGTTGGGTTGACTTGTCATTGCTTCAGTTACCTTCTCAGTGGGACAAGAGCTTCCCATGGCCCGGGCTTGCCTTTGTTCAGAATTCTGCCTGACACCGGCTCTCCCTGTGCCGTCCCCTTGTGATGTGTCCCCAAAGTCACTTACCCCACAAAAGCCTGTGTCTGTCTTTTAAGTTCTACACACAAAATCAACTGTCTGATTATAAGCTAACTACTGGTGATAGTTTATGATGTAAGCGTGGGGAGATGAAACGATTTTGAAGGTATAGGAATCTGTAAATTCCTATTAAGAAAATAAAACATGGGCCGGTGTGGTGGCTCATACCTGTAATCCCAGTACTTTAGGAAGCTAAGGACGGAGGATCACTTGAGGCCAAGACTTCACTAAGAGCCTGGGCAACATAGTGAAACCCTGTCTCTTAAGAAAAAAAAAAGGAAGAAAGTGAAAGAAAATAAAATGTTTCTACCACCAATTTTTTAAAAGCATTTCATTAGAAAATTGCAGTGAGTTAACTAATCTTAGCAATATGTGACAGAACAAATAAAATTAGAATCTGTAGCCCCAACCAAAGGTATGTTTAAAGGTTGTAGCACAAGAAGGGAAATGCTGTATCTTTTAGGTTTTTTGGTGATGGTGAATTACTTTGGCTATTCCTGGAGTACTTTCTGTTAATAAATCTTCCTTTTTCTTTTCTTTTCTTTTTTTTTTTTTAAGACACGGTGTCCCTCTGTTGCCCAGTCTGGAGTGCAGTGGTGTGATCGTAGCTCACTGCAACCTCGAACTCTTGAGCTCAAGTGATCCTCCTGCCTCAGCATCCCTAGTAGCTGGGACTATAGCACACACCACCACACCCAGCTGAATTTTTTTTTTTTTTTTTTTTTTTTTGGTAAAGACAGTGGCTGTGTTGCCCAGGCTGGTCTCAAATTCCTAGCTTCAAGTGATCTTCCCACCTCGGCCTCCCAAAATTCTGGGATTACAGGCATGAGCTAGTGTGTCTGGCCTACGCTACCTTCTTTTAACATAAGCGAAAGCATTGCCCCTTAGCTCAGTTCTCCCCTCTCTGTAGCCACAGATGTGCTGGACTTGCTAATGTGGTGGGTAGAAGGAAGAAAGAAAATTGGGCTCTTTGGTTACGTGACCGATTGTCTATAGCCCACCCAGCTGAAAGGAGGGAGGTAGAAGGGCAGAGACTTCAGATTTGGCCACCTACAAGAACACTCTAGATCTAAAGACCAGCCTGGGTCGGGTCTGAGTGCCACACACTCTGGAGGGCTGCTTCCGGGTTGACCTTACCTGAGAAGTAGATTGCTCGGTCTGGATGTAAGTCCTTTGACCAAATTAACCTCCATCCTAACCTCCCACTCGCTCTTCATGCCATGCTCAACTGGCTTCCAGAAGCATTGAGTTTCTGTTGTGTTGGCTGAGAAATGGGGGCTGAGAAGCTGTAACTAACATATAGTGCCTTATGCCTTAGAGCCCTGCTTTTACTGACTGACTCTTCTCCTTGTTTCTTTTCTTTTGTCTTTCCACACAGGCCATGCAAGTAAAGGTACAGGTCAAATGCATGACGTGTCTTTTCTGTCCTAGTATTAGAGATGCCAGGCTCTGGCCCCCTCTGCACTGTGATCACCATGGGGGTGGTACAGAATGGATTTTCCCGCCTGGAGGTCCCCCAGGCCTGCTCCAGGGAAGACAACTGCCTGTCAAAGAGTGAATGTAGGCCTACCCACCCTTGGAATGGGGAAGCCGGGGAAGCCAGCCAAGCCTCACCCTAACCGAGGTCTCCTTGCTATCTCTGCTCCCTTCTCCAGCTGCCCTCTCGGCAGCCACCACACTAACAGAGATAGGGATGACTGACAGGGCCTGAGAACCCACGACTCCTCATGGTGCTACCCAGGGTCAGAGTCCTATTTTTTTATTAGTGGTCTCAGCCCTTTCACACTGTAGATGTCCTGCCTCCTGTATAAGGCTCCCATGATTCAAAGAGAGTCTTCCAAAGACTACCCTGAGAGAATTTCCCAGTTACAGTTTCAGGTTATAACTGAACATTTTCTCTTCCTCTTAATTAATGTGTGTCAGCTGCCATTCTCCCAAACCCTCCGCTCTACACTAGGCAGTGAAGAAGTGGAGATGCACAGGAACCAGGGCACATGCAGCTCTTAGTTAGGAAAGGAAGATGGAGCCCAGGCGAGATAGACTTGCATCTGCATAGCTCAGAGGCTTACTTGCTGTGTGATCTTGGAAAACTTGCTTAACTTCCCTGAGCAATCCCAGTCTCATTTACAAAACTGGTTAATATTTCAGGGGTTTGGGGAGGATCATAGATGTTTTATGTAGCAGGCACATTGGAGTCATATTGCATGTGCAGCATTTATGGTTAGAAGAACATGAGATCGGCCCAATCAAATAGAGAGTGAGCAGGAAATAATTTAGATTGTGTAATCAAATCCACATAGTCACCCTTTTGAGCATATTTGTTCGATTGCATACTGTGTATTACCATTTATATTTTACATGTATATATACGTGAGATCACATAGTTATCTACACGTAACAAGGTTCTATGTTTTATGGATGATTTGAAACATTTTCAAGGGTAATGTAGACTATAAATGAGTTTTGCCCTGAGTCGCAACCTTTAGAATTTGAAACCTGGTGGTAGAATGGTGAGGAGCTCCGCGAGCACTCAGCCAATGATAGTCGGCACACGCACAGTCTGTGTGTGAGGCAGCTTTCCCTTCCTGCTGTTTTCTGGAACACCAGGAGCCTCCTTCTCTTAACCCCATTTCTTTCCCTCCGTTTATATTTCTTACTGCCCCTCCCACTGCTGTCCAGGGGCTGACTGGTGTTTTGGAGCACTGGACACAAGGTACCCCTGCAACCAATAGAATTTTCTGGCAATGTTTGGCCAGACTGGGGTTCTGCTGGCCAGGGATTTTGCTGTGGTTTTGGTGATACTGTGATGCAATCACCTGAAAGTGCAGCCACCACAAGTGCTGAAAGAATGGACACTGTTCTTGAGAGTGTCCATTAATAATTTTGAAACTCTTTTGCCCTTTGGAAAGCAATGTAAAGAGATTAGTCCCAACACAGTGTTAATTCTGACCCTACTCTTCTCTTCCAAAAGCCTTTTCCCATAAAATGAATTCTGCCCAAGCCTGGGAGGACCAGGTCTTGTATGCCAGTTCCAGGGCAGGCATCTGGCGTGCTCCCAGAGCCCTGTATCTGTATGCCATGATAAACCACAGTGCTGCCCCCTCATTGCTGCAAGCTCTCCATGGCACCTCATAGCACAAAACTTCCTTCTTTCCTGGAGTCCCTGACTTGCTTCTGGCTACCCAGCCTCCCCACTTCCCGCAGGTGCCCACTGAGGCCCAGTCCTGCAAGCACATACCACATGAGTGGCTCTGCTTCTCTGGAACCTGGAATCATGAAAACTGAGTCACCGCAGAGCCTCGTCTCCTTGAATCCACCTGGACCCACCATGTGATTTCCCTGTGCTGGAGATGCTGAGGGTTCTCAGTGGGTTGCCTAGGGCTGCTATTGTGGCATAGCCCAGTGCATTGGATTCCTCTCTTTTTTTTTTTTTCAACGTTTTTTTGTTGTTGTTGTTGAGACTGAGTCTTGCTCTGTTGCCCAGGCTGGAGTGCAATGGCGTGATCGCATCTCACTGCAACCTCCGCCTCCTGGGTTCAAGCGATTCTCCTGCCTCAGCCTCCCGAGTAGCTGGGATTACAGGCATGCACCACCACACCCACTAACTTTTGTATGTTTAGTAGAGATGGCGTTTTGCCATGTTACCCAGGCTGGTCTCAAACTCCTGACCTCAGTTGATCCACCCGCCTCGGCCTCCCAAAGTGCTGGAATTACAGGTGTGAGCCCCCGCACCTGGCCTGGATTCCTCTCTTAAACCCACAACTTCACTGAGTGAACTCTCTCTGAAAAGGATGAGAAGGCATAAGCCAAAGATGGGTACGAGCTTCCATGGATTGAGGAGTTCCTTTCTTTCATATCTGCAGTGTTTCTCCTAACTTTCCTTCAGCTGGATTCCAAAGCAGCCCTACTTTTAGATTTTCCTTTTCCTGTAAGAATTTGCATTGGCTCGTGGTGGGGAGGCTACGTGAGGTGCTCCAAAACACCAGCTTCAGCTTTGGAAACACAGAGCAATTATTCTGTGCTGGATGCTCTTTCACATTTTTAGTGATTCCCCAGCATCAGAATTCTCAGAACTGTTCTGGGGCCATTTTTGTCAGTTACCAAATCATTCTTTTTGTAGAACACCAGTTTACTTGTTCAGTCCAGAAGTGAGTGAGCAAAGACCATAGGCATCTGTGATGTGTGTGTAGTTATGTGGTTCTGTGTGCATGCGCAGAAGGAGAAGGCTCAGGGTTATGGCTGGTCTTTTATGGCTACCTAATTCGTCTTTGTTCAACACACTCTTTTCACTGTCCTTTGAAGTGTAGTAAGGCCCAGCCTATATCAACAGGGCCACAAGGAGGCAGGCTGCCTCTGACAGGAGGCCGTTCCTTTGGGAGAATCACTGAGCCCCTCTCTGTTTATTTCAACATCATCTCCTAGTCTGGAGGACAAGACCAGGAGCGGAAGAAGACAAAGCGGCGGGGAGACTTGTATTCCATCCAGACCTCCCTCATCGTGGCTGCACTCAAGAAAATGCTGCCCATTGGTTTGAATATGTGTACTCCAGGCGACCAGGAGCTGATCTCCCTCGCAAAATCGCGATACGGCCATGTAAGCTGCCTGTCTGCCTGGGCTGAATGTGTGATCCAGGTGGTGTCGTGATAGGCGTTCGGCCCCTGAAGGGTTAGTCCTCCTCCTCTGGAGGGGCGGGGAGCAGATGAGCAGAAACTAATGTGTATGGAGGCAACATGCCCTCATCTTTAATACTGGTTTGGAAGTCAGTGTGTGCCCAATGGGACAAATCTCTGTAATGTTTTTCTTTCATTCTTCTAATAAAGATCCCAGCAAAACTGTGCCTTGACTCTCCACACATCCCCGTATGCTACTTGACAGTTCCATGGTGATCTCCAGGAATAAAATGTGACATCTCTTTCCACAGAGGGACACAGATGAAGAGGTCAGAGAACATCTGCGGAACAACTTGCACTTGCAGGAAAAGGTGATGACTCGGGACGGCAGCGAGAACTTACATGGGCTTTCCTTCCGGCTGGAAGCTTCTGGCTTTTCACTTCCTTTACTCATGCTTCTTATAGGTTCCAAAAACAGTTTTGGGGTATTTGTGTTTAATTGGTAGGACTAGCTCTCTCTTTTTATAATTATTGTTTTCAAAATTGACTGGTACATAAACCGCCCTTAATTTTGGGGTTGTTTTGCCCTTAATGTTTGTGCTTAGCTATTACAAAGAGGATGCAAAGAGGCGTCCAATGAAGCATCTATTCCAATTTCCCGTTATGTGAATGTCAGGCCACAGCAGCGGGGTGGAGATTAGGTCTCAGAATTTACTGACCGTAAGTCTTGTTAAACAGTGCAGTGGACACCTGGGGGAAGTTTTAGCACCTCCTGCTCTAAAGAGATTTTGAAACAAAATACTTTTGTGTCTAGTTGGTACAATAAAAAGATATAATTTTAATTTTAAAGGCTATTTGAGATGTTTTAAAGCCTGTGAATCTGAATTACTCTTTCCTCAAATACATTATGCCCTGAGATAGAGAACTAAGCCAACACAGAAAGTATTTCCTTTCTACCCCAAACACATAGGAATGGTGGATAAAATATACTAGGAAAAAAAAAAAAAAAGGCCATAAAAAGAATTCTCAAGAGCCGGAAAAAAAAAAAATCTTAGGGGCTTGGTTTTTTAATAATTGTAAAGGAAGAGGAGTGTGGGACCTAATTACCCTAATTACCCACACTATGCATAAATACAGAGCAAGAAACTTCCATAAAGTTAGCCTTGAACCAGTAAAACCCACAAATATTCCACAGAGAAACCCGTTAAACCACTTGGAGAGCCCCCATCTCCTAAAATATAAGCTGAGATGCCAATAGGTAAAATTCCTCCTGAAGACAAGCTCATATTCTTTTTAAATTACAAAGAGCACATCAGGAAATCTATTAGAAAGTCAGCATATGAAACAAAGAGAAGAATTCAACCATAAGGAGCTATTGAAAGAGACATCAATGTAAATATAATTAAAACATTTAAAGAGATACAAAGGAAGTAATCGAACCCATAAAGCAATAATTGGATGCTATATTTTTAAAAAGGAGAAGGGGAGATGGGTTTGAAAAAAGACTTTATAGTCATTATAAAAGTAAAAAGTAATCAAAGTAATCGTTGAAATTAAAAACCTAATGGTTAAAAATAGGCTACACATAGCTGAAATAAGAATTCATAAATTAGAAGAGTGCTTTAAGGAAATCATCCAAAATGCAACACAGAGAGATGACGAGATAGAAAATATGACAGAAGCATTAAGAGACGTAGGAGTTAGAATGAGAAGTTCCTATACAGTATCTATAGTGTTCCAGAAGATAACTGAGAAAATAAAAGTGAAGCCATAATAGAAGGAGAGTCTTGACTCCTATGGAACCATGGTAGGACCAGAAGGCTTCTTCAGTATAAGAGGTACAGGAAATTCCTCATCTTAGGAGTATGCTTCAATTTTCAGTCTGATGACCCAGCTGTAAAATGGCAGCTGAACCTCTACAAGGATGTTCTGAAGAGTGAAGAACCTTTCAATCCGGAAAAGACAGTGGAGCGTGTACAGAGAATTTCAGCAGCTGTCTTCCACCTGGAACAGGTAAGGAGCATCTGCCCTGAGGAATGGGGAAGCAGAAACACCCTGGACAGTACAAAGCTCCTCTCCACACTCAGCTGTCAGGTACAAGTGCCCTCATAAGACTGAGAAAACAAGGACCAAGGATCATCCCGGATCACCCCCACGTGCCATCTCGATGCCCTGTGATAGCAGACCTCTCCATTATTTCCCCTGCCAGTGTTTTGTGCATTCTTGCCATTAGCTCAAATGCCCTATTTAAGTCCTCTACCGTTAGTTAAGCTGCTATTAGGCAATAAATGACTAAAATTGGGAGAAAGAGGAACACCTAAGACTTTTCGCAACCAAAATATCTGCTCCTGGGTGCATTTTGCTAACTACAGTTGAGAAGCCAGAATTCTTCCAGAATGAAGAAGTCTGGGCTACAGGTGACTAGCCCCTGCCACCAGAAGATCAGCCTAATGTGCACCAACCCATGTGATCTCTTCTCAGGTGGAACAGCCTTTGAGGTCCAAGAAGGCCGTCTGGCACAAACTGCTATCAAAGCAACGGAAACGGGCAGTGGTGGCCTGCTTCAGGATGGCCCCTCTCTACAACCTGCCCAGGCAAGTATTTTGTCTTTTTTTTTTCCTGGCATGTAAGCCAGTGATGGGAATGGAGGTATCCTCCCACAGCTGTGCTCTCTCACTCTTAATCCAAGGAATAGAAATTGGAATCCTTGGCCTATGGAGCTAGTGCAGTCTGCATAGTATAAGGGCCTGGCTAAGACAATCAAGCATGAAAACTGAAACCAGATGAGACTCTCTAGAGCCCATTCCTGTCAGGTCCACCATCTGTACCCTAAAGTCAGCCAAGTAAGCATATGGAAGTACACTACTTTTGCTGAGGTGGGATTCTTGGTTAGCATGTAAAGGCTTCTGGAAAAAAAAGAAACTTTTCAGAAACATTTTACCCCAGATTCCATCAACAGGTCCAATAGTATTTCTCTGCTCAGGCACTTGACACTAAAATCACCATTTCCTCAGCAGGTACAGAAATGTAACTTGAACATCTTTTAGTACAGTGTACTAGCTGTCAAAATATAGAAAGGCTGGAGATGTCTCAAGAGGCTTGCCAGAGGCGCAATGCCTTTGGGTGTTTTAGCTTATACTTTGAAGTAAAATGTATTTGGAGCTTTTTCTGAAAAGTTTGGGACATATCCTTGTCAATAGAGGGACTAGTATCAGTGACAGACTGGCCCAGAGTTGACCACCCAGACTGATTCAGTGTCTTTGGTGATACGGTAACATTCCTGTCCTCAGACTCATTGCAGAGTGGGTGTGGTTGGGTCTTCAGTCAATAAAAAAGCCAGTCATTGAATATCAGCCTCCGTTTCATTGACTTATCAAATCAGGAGGGATATTCTCACTTGCTCAGGGAGAATAGGCTGACTTAGACAAGTATATACTCTGAAGCTTATGTGAATCAATGTGTTTCTTTGGAATATCAGATAAAGGGCTATTCCTATGCTTGACATTTTGTTTTCATCAAATTGTGGATCTTGGTCATCATTTGTCCAGAGTAGCCTATAACCTCATCCTGAGCCAACTGACCACCTGGGCTTTCTTAGTTAGGGTCTTTGAAGATAGTTAAGAATGATGGTCTCGGCTGGTCGCAGTGGCTCACTCCTGTAATCCTCACACTTTGGGAGGCTGAGGCGGGCGGATCACTTGAGGTCAGGAGATTGAGACCAGCCTGGCCAACATGGTGAAACCCTGTCTCTACTAAAAATACAAAAAAAACTTAGCCAAGCATGGTGGCGTGCGCCTGTAATCCCAGCTACTTGGGAGGCTGAGGCAGGAGAGTCGCTTGAACCCAGGAGGTGGAGCTTGCAGTGAGCCGAGGTCACGCCACTGCATTCCAGTCTGGGCGACAGAGTGAGACTCCATCTCAAAAAAAAAAAAAATTTAAAAAAATCAATCAGGCTTGGTGGTGGCAGCCTGTAATCCCAGCTACTCAGGAGGCCGAAGCGGGAGAATCGCTTGAACCTGGGAGGCGGGGGTTGCAGTAAACTGAGATAGCGCCATTGCACTCCAGCCCGGGCAACAGAACGAGACTGTCTTCAAAAAAAAAGAAAAAGAATCACGGTCTCTGAGACACATACCTGCTCCAACAGATCTCTTTCAAGAGAACGGATTACTATCTTTGGAAGAGAATGAGGCACCACCAAATCAAGTAGAATTCCTGAATGAAAAGATGAAAAACAAGCTCAAGCAGTCCTGGGCATTAAGGCTGCTGAAGTGCTGACAGAAAAGTGAGATTCATAGCCTGTTAGAAAAAGCAAAAGTGCATAGAATTTGTGTTTGTTTTCTGGAAGTGTCAAAACATCAGAAAGTGTTTCCTTCCCTAGCTGGTTGAGATTTCTACCTGACATTGTGCTGAGGTGGCCTCCAAAAGAGCCCAGCTCTAAAGCACATGTCTCTAGGACCAGAACAGCTAGGCAGAAATTACATCTCTCAAAAACAAGCATTTTTTTCTAAATCCACTGAAGATATTAGTATCATCCTTACGTATCTGGGCTACACTTTCGGTAGTTTTACTCTGTATGGGTAAGAGTCAGTCACATTCACTATGTCCTTCATGAAGCATGAGCGTCCCTAATCCAGTTGTTTTAGAGGAGCTGCTGTGGGTGATCTCTCCAGCATGGAGGACTGTAAGTAGATTTCATAACAACAGAGAAGCTGGTGATGGAGACAACTTCTCTTCTCCACCTTGTGATCCTCTAACTACGTAGAATCTCCCAAACTAAAGGGCTAAAGGGATTTATTTTATTATGTGGAAACTTTCTCTGATGCTAGTTTTTAAAAGAAAACTTGTATGCTTCTCTCCAGACACAAAATTAATAATTTCTTCCTGAGCACCTTTCAACAAGTTTGGCTGGAAAAGGTTAATGAAAAAACTCAGTATGACAGGCTTATACCCATTTTAATGGTAATGTAACCTGTGGAGAGACCTGCTCATTCTCTGCACGCTCCTCCTTTATTGACCATGATTTAACGTTACCATAAAAACACGAATTTGTACAATTTTCAGGAAGAATTCTGATTGGTCAGATTTGAAGAAAGATGGCAAGGGCTGTGTTCTACCAAAAACCATGACCAGGGCTTAATGACTCTGGTGTTGACTTTCGTCTTCCTCTCCTCTCCTTCCCTCCTCACCACTGTCCTCACACTTTGTAAACACTTGGCTGCTTTTGCTTTGCAGTGGCTAATACTGCCAGAAGTCAATCCTGGCTTATCGGGAGTGGCTCGTGCCAGTTATTCAGTGCACCCACATACCAGGGACATAACTCGAATCCATGAGGCACACAGAAAATATGCCAATGACGTAACGTGCTTAAACCTTGCCTTGTTACGTAGAAGCTGGAGCACCTTACCAGTGTGGTTACTTGGAGAATGAAAAGAAGCCACACTTTGGTATTTTGGTATCTCTAAGATGAAACCACTGATCATCCGTATGACTTAGATTGGATTACCTAGAAGGGTGATGAGCCTAAAGGAATACTGAAATTGCCATAGGAAGCAAATACTTCAGGACTGCTACTTGGCCTCATGATTGATTTCTCACTGGAGAGGAAATGTGATAAAGACCCTATGAAGGCCGGGCGCGGTGGCTCACGCCTGTAATCCCAGCACTTTGGGAGGCCGAGACGGGCGGATCACAAGGTGAGGAGATCGAGACCATCCTGGCTAACATAGTGAAACCCTGTCTCTACTAAAAAAATACAAAAAAAATTAGCCGGGCGTGGTGGCGGGCGCCTGTAGTCCCAGCTACTGGGGAGGCTGAGGCAGGAGAATGGCATGAACCTGGGAGGCGGAGCTTGCAGTGAGCCAAGATCGCGCCACTGTACTCCAGCCTGGGCGACAGAGCGAGACTCCGTCTCAAAAAAAAAAAAAAAAAAAAAAAAGACCCTATGAGAACAGAGTAGGATTACCGATAACTGCCATGTCTTGCTAACCACTGTCATTTTCAGAAGATGCTCTAATATTCAAGACTCGTCATGGTAGAGGGTTCTGGTTTCTTTAAAGTGAGCTCTGTGGTATGGTACTGGCTACCCTGACCAATCAGAAGATAAGAATTGTACAAAAGTCTGTCCTGCTTACTAACCATTAACTGCCCAAACTAAAAGAACAAGTTCCATGGATCGCTCTTGACCTCCCTCTCACCCCTTCCGCTCAGGCACCGCTCTATTAACCTCTTCCTCCATGGCTATCAGAGATTTTGGATAGAAACAGAGGAGTATTCCTTTGAAGAGAAACTAGTACAGGATTTGGCTGTAAGTACTGACTGCCCTGGGAGCAGATATGGGTGTGGTTGAATTTGATTTCTGAATTCACGGGTGTGGTTGTAACAGTTAAACGTTCACAAGGAATCGTGTGTATACATTTGAAAAGCACTAACTGTGTAAATGCTCAGGGGAGGCCCTGCTAATGGTTGTAGGAGCCAGAGGATGAATATTCCCTTGGAGGTGCTAATACTATCATCATCATCCTCATCGTCGCTGTTAACAACTAATATTTCTTGAAATGCGCAGCCATGTCATGGGGGGTTCATGCTAAGTGAAGTTTTGAGCACCATTGATTGCAGGAGGCCACCCCAGCCATAGCCCCACATTCCTACTCAGTAGTTCTGCTTTGGGGAAGGTGCATCTAGATACTCTTCCTGCATCTTACATTTCTATGTTTGGTCTTTCAGAAAATTTGGCATGCCTTGTCTCCAACAGACTTCATGCTCTAAAGTCACTTAAAATGACACACGAGGGGGAAACTTACTGCAGAGGTGCCACAGAGCCTCATTCTGGTTCAGAGAGAAAATAAACCGTCCTTCTCTCTGGCCAGCCTGTGGTTCTTTTTCTCCTTCTCCCACGAACCTTTTTCTCTCATCACTCACTCTCTCCGTTCATCTTGTCCTGTGTTTCTGACAGTCACTCTTTTCTGAATGTCTTTCTATCGTCCCGTCACCCTCTGTTTCTTTCCTTCTTTTTGAAAGCCTTTTCCTATTGTTTTCCTTCCCTTTGTCTTTATGTCTTTCATTCTTCTCATATATTCCTGTTGGTGAGAAAGACACTTGTTGTTTTTCTCAGTTTCTTGATGAGTGTGAAGGTGAAAATGAGCGTCATTTCAGCCCTCTACTTCCTCTGAACCACTCATACAACCCATGTAGTTCTCACCAATTTACCGAATACGGTCCACCCTGCTGGCTCTGCCACTGCTAGAAAATTCACTTTTACCTCTGACATTAGCCGCTGTTTCTCTTTCCGTGAAAGGCGATAAAGAAAAGACCTGCTAAAGGGAGAAGGGCAAGGCCTGCCGCTCCAGGATGGCAGCTCTCGGGAGCAACAAGAATTTTAGAAGCAAGAGTTAGGTTAGGAAAGAGAAATGTTTTGCTGGGTTGAATCTAGACGAGTATTAGACCCAAAATGGCCCCACTGCTTTGTAACTCTTGCCCCACCTCCATGTCGAGCCCAGCTCTTCAAACGAAATGTCAGCTGTTGGCCTGAGAGAGCCAGTCTTTCAGGTGACTGTGGGGTTTTCCTCCTGAACTCAGGTGCCCAGAGCTTGCATGAGAGGTCAGCTGATTGGGATCCGTAGCTATTCCCTTTATGGGCAGCCTTTTGCTTTTTATTTTGTTTTAACCTGGAATTGGAATGTTTCTTTGATTGGCTGTAAAAATAAAAAATACATATACATATATACACATATATCTCAAACTTCGCACCTTTAGGGCTTCTATCCTGAAATAAATAGATGACGTAGTGGTTTTGTTTTGTGCTTTAGTCTGATGCATTCTATGCCTTGCGCTTTACCTTCTCTTTGTTCGCATGCAGTCACGTGGCACGAGATTAAATTCATGCCTAAAACCTATCTGTGTTGGTTTGTGTAGAAATCTCCAAAGGTGGAAGAGGAGGAGGAGGAAGAGTCCGAAAAACAACCTGACCCACTGCATCAGATCATTCTGTATTTTAGCCGCAACGCTCTCACGGAGAGGAGGTCAGAACCACCAGATCACCTGCTTCTCCCACGCACCAGGGATACTTGTGTCCACTCCTAACCTTCCCCTCTCAGACGGCAGTGGGTGGAAAGGGGAAGCCAGATTTGAGCAGCCCTCCTTGCTGCCTTATATGTGGCCATCAAGATATGTCTAGGGAGCCAGGCGCGGTGGCTCACGCCTATAATCCCAGCACTTTAAGAGGCCAAGGTGGGTGGACCGTCTGAGGTCAGGAGTTCGAGGCCAGCCTGACCAACATGGTAAAACACTGTCTCTACTGAAACTACAAAATTAGCCAGGCGTGGTGGTGCACGCCTGTAATCCCAGCTACTCAGGAGACTGAGGCAGGACAGTCGCTTGAACCCGGGAGTCAGAGGCTGCAGTGAGCGAAGATTGCGCCATTGCATTCCAGCCTGGGCAATAAGAGCGAAACTCCATCTCCAGAAAAAAAGATATGTCTAGGGGAAACTACATCAAGCCACAGCCTGCTCTTCGTAATGTCGGACACGGAGCTGAAGATTAAACAGCCTAAAACTGTTTCCATGAATCAGTTAATCTCTGAATTCCATGTTAAGCCAATGCTGGTTCACATTTTCAGAGTGGTTTTTAAGAATCAGAGTGGGGGAAGGGATTTTCTGATTAATTCACCAGTACTTATAATTTGAAATTTATATGACTCTCAGTCTTTCTTGTGAGGTCCAAAGAGTAGCCTGCTAAGGCCGGGCACGGTGGCTCATGCCTGTAATTCCAGCACTTTGGGAGGCCAAGGCGGGTGGATCACTTGAAGCAGGAGTTTGAGACCAGCCTGGCCAATATGGTGAAACCCTGTTTGTACTAAAAATACAAAAAAATTAGCTGGGTGTGGTGGCGGGTGCCTGTCATCCCAGCTACTAGGAAGGTTGAGGCAGGAGAATCACTCGAATCCAGGAGGTGGAGGTTGCAGTGAGCCGAGATCGCACCATTGCACTCCAGCCTGGGGGATAAGAGCAAAACTATGTCTCAAAAAATAAAAATTAAAAAAAAAAGTATCCTGCTAAATATTTCCTCCATTCTTTCCAGCAAATTGGAAGACGACCCTTTGTACACCTCCTATTCCAGCATGATGGCTAAGGTACACCCAGCTTTTCTGCCCATTGTCTCTGTCTTTCTATCTTCCCTTAGACTTCTGTAGATGCATGAAAATTGTCATGTTGCATAGCAGGCCTGGGACTTTGTCATGACGTAGGTTTCAGGTATTGCACAATTCATGTGCATAGAGATGATATTAGTAAACCACTTCACTGTCTTCCTAAGGAAACCTTGAAGCTTTGCAGAAACAATGAGTGCTGGTGGATAGGTTCACACTGACATTTCTAAAGCCAGCTAAATGGGGCTTAGGCATACAGACTACCCTTGTGTTTTCACTCAATGTTCAGAATACATCAGACAGTTCAAACACATCCACAGGTGAAGGTTAGAAACTAGAGAGAGTTCCCGGTGTTCTGGAAGAGGCAGTGTGACCAGAGATGTTCTACGTCACCTAGAAAGATGGTGACCTCTAGAATGCTGAGTGAGTAAGGGAAACTTTCATGTCAGGCAGAAAGAATGTGTCGGGGTATAGGAGCACCTATTCGTTGATCTAGCTGTACCACAGGGCCCCAGTGGGAAGAGGCACTTTAGGATTCACATCCTAGGTGATGTGTCTCCAATCTTCTTGCCATGCCCTTGGGGCTGTATCTAGGAAGTGGCAGCTCCCTGCCTTCCTGCCTCCCATTTACACCGGAACTTTACTAAGGAAGGAGGGTTCAAGTCTGTGGTTAAACCAGCTAGGTCGCCATTGATGATGTGAGCTCCGTGTTCTCATTTCTCATTTATGAACTCTATGGTAACTGCAAAGATGGCATTTACGGTAGAAATGTTGCCCAGCAGTGGCCAAAATGTTCCTGGTTTTACACAGTGCTGAGGTCCTGAGGTGCCTGTGAATTACATGCTGTCCCCTGCCCTTGCAGTGTTGTGTTTATTAGATTCACCTTTAATTTGGTTGTCTGTCTTCTCCCTCCCCTGCTCCCTGAAATCCAGAGTTGTCAAAGTGGTGAGGACGAAGAAGAAGATGAAGACAAGGAAAAAACATTTGAAGTAAGTTCTTGTGAAGGTTAAAAACAGAGCCACCCTCCAAGGCCAACAGGCCAGGCCTTCAGAGGTGGGGGCTGACGTTAGCGTAAGTGGCTCGCCCACCAGGAGTGTGTGAGTTGGCAAATCTGCCTTAAGCACACCCATTAGCTGTGGTTGTCCTGTCTGTCTACCCAAGAAAAGGTAGCAGGTAGTATGCCAGTCAACAAACCACTAGCTTTGTTCTTGTGGGAAATTTTACTCAATGACTGTAGTAACAGGGGCCATAGAAGGACAAACTGAAACATCTGAAATGAAAAAAAAATCAGAAAAATGAAAATCAAGTCAAGCGTGGTGGCTCACACCTGTAATCCCAGCACTTTGAGAGGCCAGGGGAGGGAAGATCACTTGAGCTTAGAAGTTCAAGACCAGCCTGGGAAACACAGGGAGACCTAACTCATCTATATAAAAATTTAAAGATTAGCTGGGTATGGTAGTGTGCTCCTATAGTCCCAGCTGCTCAGGAGGCTGAGGTAGAAGGATAGCTTGAGCCCAAGTATTTGAGGCTGCAGTGAGTTCTGATTGTACCACTGCACTCCAGGCTGGGCGACAGAGTAACATCCAGTCTCTCAAAAAAAAAATAAGTAAATAAAATAAGATTAAAAAACCAGAGGAATAGAGATACTTGAATGGTTTTTGCACTATTATTCTATAAATGCAAGTTGATAGTGATTTTTATTTTGAGGCAGTACAGGACCCTGAAATTCTCAAGATTAAACTATATTAGGTTACTTGTACTCTTTTGTAGACAAAGTACATGACAAAACACAGCAGAAGTAAGTGACTATAATTACAGTCTGGAAAGCTTTGACATTCACATAACCCATGTCTGGTAGAAAGTGTGCGGTGGCTCACGCCTGCAATCCTAGCACTTTGGGAGGCCAAGGCGGGTGGATCACCTGATGTCAGGAGTTCGAGACCAGCCTGACACTCCAGCCTGGGGGACAAGAGCAAAACTCTGTCTCAAAAAATGGCCTGGCCAGCATGGCGAAACCCCATCTCTACTAAAAATACAAAATTAGCTGGTTGTGGTGGCACACGACTGTAATCCTAGCTACTGGGGAGGCTAAGGTAGGAGAATCGTTTGAACCCAGGAGGCGGAGTTTGCAGTGAGCTGAGATCATACCACTGCAGTCCAGCCTGGGAGACAGAACGAGACTCCGTCTCTTAAAAAAAAAAAAGTGTTAGCTGTGGTCTGAGCATTCCAGATAAGTGAGCATTTCCTGCATTCAGCCAGAAATACTCAAGTAGACCCCTCAGCAGGTTTCCCTGTGTAACAGAACATAGAAAACAAACACATTTTAATGTCGGGTTGCTTCCCACAATTAAGGTATCCAAAAGGAATGAACTGCGTTTTCTATCAGTACAAAACATGGAAAATATATCATCAAAATAAGAGTGATGGGTAGACAGGTTTAGAAAGCTGGGTAGTGTCTGGAAATGAACTTCAGAGGTCTGCTTTATCCAAGTTGATGTGTGTTGCCTTCCTTAGGTAACTGGGAAATTCTCTCTCACCTCACTATGGGTGGACTCCCTGGTGGTGGGTAGAAACCAGTCTTTCCCTGTGATTTTTTTGCCCCCAGGAGAAGGAGATGGAGAAGCAGAAAACCCTGTATCAGCAAGCTCGGCTGCATGAGCGTGGTGCCGCGGAGATGGTCCTTCAGATGATAAGCGCTAGCAAAGGTGATTTCCCTACTTTCTGGATGGACCCATGTAACTTCCACAAAGATATCATGCTGTGACATAAAGCCATTATTAAAGAGCCCTGCTGAGGCCCAGTAGGCATGATTTACCATCTGTTTCCTTAGTGATTCAATCGAATCTTCACCATGGCAGGTGACATGAGCCCCATGGTGGTTGAGACTCTGAAGCTGGGGATCGCCATTCTGAACGGAGGCAATGCTGGTGTGCAACAGGTAATGGGAACTTGCGGCGTCTGGGCAGACTCCCGGGGTATTCCCATTTGACACCCGTCACGCTTCAGGGAAGAGGAGTTGACTAGGGGTACACCCAGAATCACTTAGCTGGCATTTGTCCTTAGTGGCCAGTTATATCAGAGTAGCTGGAAACACAACCAGGGCTGGGAGTCTACAGGCAAATGTGTCTTTAATAAAGAGGTTTTACCCAGGATTAAGTATAAAAAACATTTCGTTTTTCATCAGTAGATAGCTTTCTGCATAAATATTCTCTAGAAAAATGTCCTGAGAGTTAGGTTTTTACTTTAGCCCTTTATTTTCACTTATTAGCTGCCTTTATATGAGCAAGGAGCCTCAGCAGTTAAGTGGAGTTGATAAACTCATAAACCTGTTATTCGGCCAGGCGTGGTGGCTCAAGCCTGTAATCCTAGCACTTTGGGAGGCCGACATGGGCAGATCCCGAGGTCAGGAGATCGAGACCATCCTGGCTAACACGGTGAAACCCCGTCTCTACTAAAAAATACAAAAAACTAGCCGGGCGAGGTGGTGGGCGCCTGTAGTCCCAGCTACTTGGGAGGCTGAGGCAGGAGAATGGCGTGAACCCGGGAGGCGGAGCTTGCAGT